TTTGAAAAATTTTTTGTTGCCCTAACTGGTTTGGCTCAGTGGATAGAGCGTCGGCCTGCGGACTGAAAGGTCCCAGGTTGGATTCTGGTCAAGGGCATGTACCCTGTTTGCGGGCACATCCCCAGTAGGGGGTGTGCAGGAGGCAGCTGATCGATGTTTCTCTCTATCCTTCTCCCTTCCTCTCTGTAGAAAAATCAATAAAATATATTTAAAAAAATTTTTGTTGTTGTTAATCGTCACCCGAGGATATTTTTTCCCCTTGATTTTGTTAGAGAGAGCGAAAGTGAGAGAGGAGAGAGAGAAACATTGATGTGAAAGGGACACATGCATTGGTTGCCTCCCACATGCACCCGGACCCGGGCTGGGGATGGAACCTGCGACCCAGGTGCCTGCCCTTGATGGGGAATCCAACTTCGGTTCCTGGGCAGGTGCTCTAACCATTGAGCGACAGGGGCCAGGGTGCGTTATATTTTGGATGCGCTCAGTACCTCGCTGGGAATTTAACATATCCTTGTTTCTTTTTAAAATGTATTTTTATTGATTTCAGAGAGGAAGGGAGAGGGAGAGAAAGAGGAACATCCATGATAGAGAGAATCATGGGTCGGCTGCCTCCTGCACGCCCCACACTGGGGATCGAGCCCACAACCTGGGCCTGTGCCCTTGACCGGGAATCGAACCGTGACCTCCTGGTTCACAGGCTGATGCTCAACCACTGAGCCGCGCCGGCCGGGCTTGGAAGGTAACGCATCTTCACATACTTGGAGGGAGAGTGTCGGCTTCCCATTTTCGACATGAGGACATGGCCGCCTGAAGTGGAGTAAGGCCTTGCACAAGCACAGAGTCCGTTAGCGGCGCTGGAACCCACGCCGAAGTCAGGTGGCTGCACAAACCCAGCTCGGCCTCGTCTTGCAGATCAGAGTGTGGTCGGCGGTCAGGGGCTCATCCGCAGGTCAGCTCAGCTACATCCATTGCGGCTGGGTAGCCGGGGGCAGGGCGGGGCGGGGCGGGGTGTGAGGTCGGGGGAGAAATAAATGGGGAAGCCAGGGCCCTCCCCTGTCTCAAGCGGGGAGCCGTGGAAAGGCCTGGAGAAAGCTCTTCCCCTTTGGGCAGGGACGCTGATGTAGCAACGACAGGACCGCCTGACCCACACATCCTGTGCCCTGTGCCAGCTGCAGGCTGTGCCCTTCCACCTCCTGACTCCGGGGCTGCGCAGGCTGCCCGCTGGCCATGAGCCCCCGGCCCTCCACCCTCCTGGGCCTCGGTGAGTCCTGGATGGAGGGACCGCATCCCAGGGACCGAGGGGGTGATGGCTGGGGGAGGCGTCTACATCCCTGCTCAGCCTGACTCCAGCCCAGGAGACTCACGGTCCCTCCTGGGGGCCTGGCCCCTCAGCTCTGACCCTGACCTAAGTGTGACCATGGGAGGGTCAGTCCTAGAAGCAGGTGCCTGGGCGTGGGGACAGGTTCTGACTGAGGACCTGATTGGAAG